TTCTCAAAGTAGAGACATCGTTCTCAAAGTAGAGACATCGTTCTCAAAGTAGAGACATCGTTCTCAAAGTAGAGACATCGTTCACAAAGTAGAGACATCGTTCACAAAGTAGAGACATCGTTCTCAAAGTAGAGACATCGTTCACAAAGTAGACATCGTTCACAAAGTAGAGACATCGTTCTCAAAGTAGGCACATCGTTCTCAAAGTAGAGACATCGTTCACAAAGTAGAGACATCGTTCACAAAGTAGAGACATCGTTCACAAAGTAGGCACATCGTTCTCAAAGTAGGCACATCGTTCTCAAAGTAGAGACATCGTTCTCAAAGTAGAGACATCGTTCTCAAAGTAGGCACATCGTTCTCAAAGTAGGCACATCGTTCTCAAAGTAGAGACATCGTTCTCAAAGTAGAGACATCGTTCACAAAGTAGAGACATCGTTCACAAAGAAGGGAAAGTAACGTAAATATTGACGATAATAACACAAAATCTATTTTATAAAAAATAATAATAATGTTCTAAAATAAAGTCCTTTCCACGTACAGCCGTGCAAGAGGAGAGAGGCCCCAGGAAGCCCAAACTGAAGCAGCAACAGACGACGTTGAACGACAGCCCGAAGCCCGACGCGGGAGGAAGCCCGACCGGATGTGATGGAGGCGCAGTTCGAAGCCACCCGGCGCTCTTCTGTCCTCTTGGGCTGACCGTTGGACCCGCCAAAGGCCCGAGCGGCGGCCACCCGCCTATGGCCAGAGACGTCCCACCATCTCTGGTCAGACACCTTGGTCTTCCGGATAACGCGTTATCGTGAGTTAATTCGTCTTCTTCTTGAGGTTATCTTGAGATGATATCGGGGCTTTTAGTGTCCCCGCGGCCCGGTCCTCGACCAGGCCTCCACCCCCAGGAAGCAGCCCGTGACAGCTGGCTGCTAGGTACCAGGGGGCATAGGGTGAAAGAAACTCTGCCCATTGTTTCTCGCCGGCGCCTGGGATCGAACCCAGGACCACAGGATCACAAGTCCCGCGTGCTGTCCGCTCGGCCGACCGGTTCTTGCAGGTGATGAGTCACAATAACGTGGCTGATGTTGACCAGACCACACACTAGAAGGTGAAGGGACGACGACGTTTCGGTCCGTCCTGGACCATTCTCAAATATGGTTAATTTTCGGCAGAATTTCACGCAAGCTGCGATCAATACATTATATTGACGTGAGTCAACCAGGAGTGATAGCCAGTTGCCAGATGCTCACCTAGTTGTGCTTGCGGGGGTTGAGCTCTGGCTCTTTGGTCCCGCCTCTCAACTGTCAATTAACTGGATAGGTATACGTTCCTTAAGGAATAGGTAGAGGCTTAGTGTTAGGGTGGTGGAGCCGGTCGGCCGAGCGGACAGCACGCTGGACTTGTGATCCGGCGAGAAACAATGGGCAGGGTTTCTTTCACCCTATGCCCCTGTTACCTAGCAGTAAAATAGGCACCTGGGTGTTAGTCAGCTGTCGCGGGCTGCTTCCTGGGGGTGGAGGCCTGGTCGAGGACCGGGCCGCGGGGACACTAAAGCCCCGAAATCTATAACCTCAAGAATGATGAGAATTTCGAGACAGATTTCTTAGAAATGTCAGCAGTTCACCTAGAGATAGAAAACGTGATTGTTGTGTCGATTGATTGATTGATTGATGAAGATTAAGCCACCCAAGAGGTGGCACGGGCATGAATAACCCGTAAGTCAAACAGTCATTGTTGTTGTTATAGATTCAGCTACTCGGAACAAGTTCCAAGTAGCACGGGCTATGGTGAGCCCGTAACTTACCTGTCACAGGAGCGGGGCAAGTAGCACGGGCTATGGTGAGCCCGTAACTTACCTGTCACAGGAGCGGGGCAAGTAGCACGGGCTATGGTGAGCCCGTAACTTACCTGTCACAGGAGCGGGGCAAGTAGCACGGGCTATGGTGAGCCCGTAACTTACCTGTCACAGGAGCGGGGCAAGTAGCACGGGCTATGGTGAGCCCGTAGTGGACTTACCTGGCACAGGAGCGGGGCAAGTAGCACGGGCTATGGTGAGCTCGTAACTTACCTGTCACAGGAGCGGGGCAAGTAGCACGGGCTATGGTGAGCCCGTAGTGGACTTACCTGGCACAGGAGCGGGGCAAGTAGCACGGGCTATGGTGAGCCCGTAACTTACCTGTCACAGGAGCGGGGCAAGTAGCACGGGCTATGGTGAGCCCGTGGTGGATCAGTCAGTCAGTTCAATTTATTTATATAGAAAGGGTAGCCAGCTGCACCCAGGTTTCTTCCCCCAACCTTTTCACCCCATACCTCCCTTGAACCACTTGTCCCCATTCGTCATGCAGGTCGGCGTTCAATCCCCGACGGTCCACAAGTGGTTGGGCACCATTCCTTTCCCCCGTCCCATCCCAAAGCCTTATCCTGACCCCTTCCCAGTGCTATATAGTCGTAATGGCTTGGCGCTTTCCCCCTGATAAATCATTCATTCCCTGGATAATTCACCATTTATTTCACGGTTACTTTACAGTCTGGCGACCTTACTGGCATCGAACCCTTTCTTGATGACCGCGTCTACAATGCTACCCCCTCCGCCAAGCCTGCTGGCTCCAACCCTGCAGCCCATAGCTACGCCCATCCTACCTCTACCTCGTCCACACCTGCCGCATCTAGGCCTACACACCTCCGCTTTCAGTGCTGTTTCACCCAGCCTCCAAGACTGCGGACATACAGGTGTGTTCGAGGAGAGGTTTTCTCTCTCTTTTTACAACGTTAACTAAACTATTTATTATAATGTACCTAAATAAATCCACAAGGGCCGTGACGAGGATTCGAACCTACGTCTGGGAGCATCCCAGACGCTGCCTTAATCGACTGAGCTACGACATGGTCAAAAGAAATGCAAACAGGAATTCTACTGAATTCACTGGATCCTGCAGCCTCTCCGAGACACAAACCAGGGTTTTACACAACTCCCCCCTGCACTCGAGCTATGTCAATAGACCGTTCTACCTCTTTGTCCTTAGTTCATTACAGAAATTCAGTAGAATTTCTGGTTACAATTCTTTTGACCATGTCGTAGCTCAGTCGATTAAGGCAGTGTCTGGGATGCTCTCGGACGCAGGTTCGAACCCTCGTCACGGCCTTCACACGTTAGTGTGATCTCTGTGTCATAGAAATGTATTTGCAAATTTATTTGTATCGGAAGTCATGTTGGTATAGTGTTTAGGGGATGTATTTGTGGCGGGAAAAAACAAATATGAAATAATTCATGAACATAAATTCGAGAAATTTCGTTATTATCCATTAGATTATATTTTGGTTCAGTGTTCACAAGATGTTCACGAGAACAGCTGCTTGAACATCTTCAACTTGATTCTCCTGAACTCCTAATTTGTAGTTCTGTATATTTAACTTATATTAAAGAGTTCTTTATATTAATAAATTTAGAAAATTAGTTGTTCAAAATCACGATTTGTTCTCTAAAGATTTAGAAAATCTAAATTTCAGTTTAGAGGTTTACAAGTGGGTGAATGGACATAACAAAGGGGATATTAATAGGGTATTAAAAGTATCAACACAAGACAGAACACGAAACAATGGGTATAAATTGGATAAGTTTAGATTTAGGAAAGACTTGGGTAAATACTGGTTCAGTAACAGGGTTGTTGATTTGTGGAACCAATTACCGCGTAACGTGCTGGAGGTGGGGTCCCTCGATTGTTTCAAGCGCGGGTTGGACATGTATATGAGTGGGATTGGGTGGTTATAAATAGGAGCTGCCTCGTATGGGCCAATAGGCCTCCTGCAGTTACCTTGTTCTTATGACTGGGTGGTTATAGATAGGAGCTGCCTCGTATGGGCCAATAGGCCTCCTGCAGTTACCTTGTTCTTATGATTGGGTGGTCATAGATAGGAGCTGCCTCGTATGGGCCAATAGGCCTCCTGCAGTTACCTTGTTCTTATGATTGGGTGGTCATAGATAGGAGTTGCCTCGTATGGGCCAATAGGCCTCCTGCAGTTACCTTGTTCTTATGATTGGGTGGTCATAGATAGGAGCTGCCTCGTATGGGCCAATAGGCCTCCTGCAGTTACCTTGTTCTTATGACTGGGTGGTCATAGATAGGAGCTGCCTCGTATGGGCCAATAGGCCTCCTGCAGTTACCTTGTTCTTATGATTGGGTGGTCATAGATAGGAGCTGCCTCGTATGGGCCAATAGGCCTCCTGCAGTTACCTTGTTCTTATGATTGGGTGGTCATAGATAGGAGCTGCCTCGTATGGGCCAATAGGCCTCCTGCAGTTACCTTGTTCTTATGTTCTTATGTTTTTGACAGAATTTTCAGTTTTCAATAATGTCAAAGAAAATAGTGAGATGCCTTCAGGAGGAACAGACAAAATGTGTAGTTAATTACATTCTTGTAATTCAGAATCTTCAAGATTCTGAATTAAGATCAAGGGGAGCCGGGCGGCCGAGCGGACAGCACGCTGGATTTGTGGTCCTGTGGTCCTGGGTTCGATCCCAGGCACCGGCGAGAAACAATGGGCAGTTTCTTTCACTCTATGCCCCTGTTACCTAGCAGTAAAATAGGTACCTGGGTGTTAGTCAGCTGTCACGGGCTGCTTCCTGGGGGTGGAGGCCTGGTCGAGGACCGGGCCGCGGGGACACTAAAGCCCCGAAATCATCTCAAGATAACTTCAAGAAGATGCATTGAGAGATCTTGAGTAAACTGCATATTATCATATTATTCAATATTGTCACGCTATGCAATGTATACACATTAATAAAGTGATATTTGGCGTGGCACAGTTGACTTAGGGAACATCCTGTATGTAGGCTCGAACCCTGATCACGTCGACCCTTGAATAGAACTTGTTGATTTGTTCATTATGAAATGTATACTAACTCTCTTAACTTGCTTTGTCCTCAGGGCGTGTACGAGAGGAGGTGGGCGTACAGGTGTTAGGGTGGGTGGTTCGTCAAATTCGTACGTCGCCTTTCTTGGCGCCCATGCCTGCTTCAGACCTCCTCCTGCTCCTCACAAGGGCCTGGCCTCAGCTCCTGCTGCTCCATGCTGCCTACTGGCCGCTAGATCTGCTTCTGCTCCTTCATGCTGACCACAAGAATCCTGTTGAAGTGAGTTGATTTGTCGTTCAAGACGGGGTCGATTGGATCCAGTTGAAGTGAGTTTGTCGTTCAAGATTGGGGTTGATTGGATCCCGTTGAAGTGAGTTTGTCGTTCAAAATTGGGGTTGATTGGATCCAGTTGAAGTTAGTTTGTCATTCAAGATTGGGGTTGATTGGTTACAGTGCTTCCTGTTGCTCTGAACTACAGTTCGTCTGTGCAATGAATTGATGATTGATGAAGATTAAGCCATCCAAAAGGTGGCACGGGCATGAATAGCCCCGATTTCTGTTCTATGCAGATTGCATGATTTATATGTATCTGTCTGTCAACAGGTGAATATGTTTAAGCTTGACGAGGCCGGACAGGTGACAGGCGCTCTACGGGTGTGTCGACAGCACACTCTCGACTCTACTGAACTAATGCTGCTCTCTGCTGTAATGCTTCTTAGATCCCGTGAGTGACAACCAACTTTCTTATTAAAATAAAATAAAATGTTTTTTCAGGTAAGGTTGGGGGAGCCGGTCGGCCGAGCGGACAGCACACTGGATTTGTGATCCTGTGGTCCTGGGTTCGATCCCAGGCGCCGGCGAGAAACAATGGGCAGTGTCTTTCACCCTATGCCCCTGTTACCTAGCAGTAAAAATAGGTACCTGGGTGTTAGTCAGCTGTCACTGGCTGCTTCCTGGGGTGGAGGCCTGGTCGAGGACCGGGCCGCGGGGACACTAAAGCCCCGAAATCATCTCAAGATAACCTCAAGATAAGAAGGTACATACATACAAGAGATGAACAAATCCACAAGGGCTGTGACGAGGATTCGAACCTGCGTCCGGGAGCATCCCAGACACTACCTTAATCGATACAATAGTGTGATACAAGAGATTTTACATAAACTGATAGATTAATAGATAGAGTTAGTACATACAATGCCTAAAGCCACTATTACGCAAAGCGTTTCGAGCAGTGTATTCGCAAGTAAAGATTCTTTATACAGTTAACCAGTTTTAAGAACTATTCTGTAATATGAGGGCCTAATCACTTGGGGTGGATGGTAGAGCGACGGTCTGGCTTTATGCTGGTCGGCGTTCAATCCCCGACCGTCCCAACAAGTGGTTGGGCAACCATTCCTTTCCCCCCGTCCCATCCCAAATCCTGACCCCTTCCCAGTGCTATATAGTCATAATGGCTTGGTGCTTTCCCCCTGATAATTCCCTTCCTTTGTTATAAGGGAAGTTCGTGTGGGATTTTGCGTAGTTGATGAATTGCGTAAGATTCTCTATGGCCCCGTATCTTATCTTGAGGTTATCTTGAGATGATTTCGGGGCCTAGCGTCCCCGCGGCCCGGTCCTCGACCAGGCCTCCTTTTTGTTACCACCAGGAAGCAGCACGTAGCAGCTGTCTAACTCCCAGGTCCCTATTTACTGCTAGGTGAACAGGGGGGCATCAGGGTGAAAGAAACTCTGCCCATTTGTTTCCACTAGACAATATGTAAGATGAGGAGAAAGTCGAGAAGATTGAAAAATATCTTAGAACGTAAGATATTTGAAATATCTTACGTTCTTACGAAATATCTTACGAATAAATGAAATTGCAGAACGCCTAATGATGAAAAAGACAGTTGAAATACACACAAAAAAGATATTACAACGTAAGAGAAAGTAAGAGAGAGCCTAGAGAGGCTAAAACAATGAGGCCTCAGGTTTCTTAAGCAGCTTAGAGCACTTAGGAAAGGGCATTTAGAAAAGGCTCAAGTCAGCAGTAGTTATACAATGACCAATATCTAAAATAATCTTTCTTCTCTCTCTCTGCTCTTCGTGAATGTCTTGACAACTCGTCTCTCAAGGAATCCGCATCCACCAACGAGACGTTATTAATCCTCAGGAGCCTTAATGAGGGTTCGAACCTGGGAGCCGGGTGTTTCAAGTCGAGCTCTAGTCGATTGTATCACAACATGATCCACTGAATCTTTGTTCCTGGCTATGTTGCTTGATACTGTTCATTGATGATGAACAATATCGATGATTCTGGTACTGGTGAACAGTACTTCGATGGTTATTGATGGTGAACAAATGAACAAATCCACAAGGGCCGTGACGAGGATTCGAACTTATGTTGATGGTGAAAAATATCGGTGGGTCTGTGAAGTTCAATGGTTGGAGAAAAGGATTAAAATTTTAAGAGATAATTTGAATAATTATTTTGCTCTTGATCTATTCTGGTTAGTGCCCAACCACTCTGACGGTCGGCGTTCAATCCCCGACTGCCCAAGTGTGCTTGGGCACCATTCCTTCCGTCCGTCCTGTCCTAAATCCTTAATCCTTAAATCCCTTCCAGTCGTAATGGCTAACGAAGCCCCTATCTCCCTGATATTCGCCTTACATATTCTGAAGCATGATCCAAAAGAGTACTTCGATGGTGTACTTCGATGGTGTACTTCGATGGTGTACTTCGATGGTGTACTTCGATGGTGTACGTCGATGGTGTACGTCGATGGTGTACTTCGATGGTGTACTTCGATGGTGTACTTCGATGGTGTACTTCGATGGTGTACTTCGATGTTGTACGTCGATGGTGTACTTCGATGGTGTACTTCGATGGTGTACTTCGATGGTGTACTTCGATGGTGTACTTCGATGGTGTACTTCGATGTTGTACTTCGATGGTGTACGTCGATGGTGTACTTCGATGGTGTACTTCGATGGTGTACGTCGATGGTGTACTTCGATGGTGTACTTCGATGGTGTACTTCGATGGTGTACTTCGATGGTGTACTTCGATGGTGTACTTCGATGTTGTACTTCGATGGTGTACTTCGATGGTGTACTTCGATGTTGTACGTCGATGGTGTACTTCGATGGTGTACTTCGATGGTGTACTTCGATGGTGTACTTCGATGGTGTACTTCGATGGTGTACTTCGATGGTGTACGTCGATGGTGTACGTCGATGGTGTACTTCGATGGTGTACGTCGATGGTGTACGTCGATGGTGTACTTCGATGGTGTACTTCGATGGTGTACTTCGATGGTGTACTTCGATGGTGTACGTCGATGGTGTACTTCGATGGTGTACGTCGATGGTGTACGTCGATGGTGTACTTCGATGGTGTACTTCGATGGTGTACTTCGATGGTGTACTTCGATGGTGTACTTCGATGGTGTACTTCGATGGTGTACGTCGATGGTGTACTTCGATGGTGTACGTCGATGGTGTACTTCGATGGTGTACTTCGATGGTGTACTTCGATGATGTACTTCGATGTTGTACAAGAAGTTACTAAAGTCAATGTGCTATTTAGTGCAAACATCTGATAGAATACAAAATTTAATATTTGGAAAATATAAGACCAAGTGAAGCCAGAATTATAATCTCAATAGATTTTCTCTTGTTTTAAAAAATAAAACATTATTGGATAGAAAGATTCCTGTGAAATATTTAAAACAGCAATTTTGAGGGATATTATGCCTGTGACAGACCATATACTTAATATTTTACTCTAAGAAAAACACACGTTGAAAACATACTCCTCCTGTGAGTGGTAGTTTATTGTGCACCCCATACTCCTCCTGTGAGTGGTAGTTTATTGTGCACCCCATACTCCTCCTGTGAGTGGTAGTTTATTGTGCACCCCATACTCCTCCTGTGAGTGGTAGTTTATTGTGCACCCCATACTCATCCTGTGAGAGGTAATTTATTGTGCACCCCCATACTCCTCCTGTGAGTGGTAGTTTATTGTGCACCCCATACTCCTCCTGTGAGAGGTAGTTTATTGTGCACCCCATACTCATCCTGTGAGAGGTAGTTTATTGTGCACCCCATACTCCTCCTGTGAGAGGTAGTTTATTGTGCACCCCATACTCCTCCTGTGAGTGGTAGTTTATTGTGCACCCCATACTCATCCTGTGAGTGGTAGTTTATTGTGCACCCCATACTCATCCTGTGAGTGGTAGTTTATTGTGCACCCCATACTCCTCCTGTGAGAGGTAGTTTATTGTGCACCCCATACTCCTCCTGTGAGAGGTAGTTTATTGTGCACCCCATACTCATCCTGTGAGTGGTAGTTTATTGTGCACCCCATACTCATCCTGTGAGTGGTAGTTTATTGTGCACCCCATACTCATCCTGTGAGAGGTAATTTATTGTGCACCCCCATACTCCTCCTGTGAGTGGTAGTTTATTGTGCACCCCATACTCATCCTGTGAGAGGTAATTTATTGTGCACCCCATACTCCTCCTGTGAGTGGTAGTTTATTGTGCACCCCATACTCATCCTGTGAGTGGTAGTTTATTGTGCACCCCATACTCCTCCTGTGAGTGGTAGTTTATTGTGCACCCCATACTCATCCTGTGAGAGGTAGTTTATGGTGCACCCCATACTCCTCCTGTGAGTGGTAGTTTATTGTGCACCCCATACTCCTCCTGTGAGTGGTAGTTTATTGTGCACCCCATACTCATCCTGTGAGTGGTAGTTTATTGTGCACCCCATACTCATCCTGTGAGAGGTAGTTTATTGTGCACCCCATACTCATCCTGTGAGAGGTAGTTTATTGTGCACCCCATACTCATCCTGTGAGAGGTAGTTTATTGTGCACCCCATACTCATCCTGTGAGAGGTAGTTTATTGTGCACCCCATACTCATCCTGTGAGAGGTAGTTTATTGTGCACCCCATACTCCTCCTGTGAGTGGTAGTTTATTGTGCACCCCATACTCATCCTGTGAGAGGTAGTTTATTGTGCACCCCATACTCATCCTGTGAGAGGTAGTTTATTGTGCACCCCATACTCATCCTGTGAGAGGTAGTTTATTGTGCACCCCATACTCATCCTGTGAGAGGTAGTTTATTGTGCACCCCATACTCATCCTGTGAGAGGTAGTTTATTGTGCACCCCATACTCATCCTGTGAGAGGTAGTTTATTGTGCACCCCATACTCATCCTGTGAGAGGTAGTTTATTGTGCACCCCATACTCATCCTGTGAGAGGTAGTTTATTGTGCACCCCATACTCCTCCTGTGAGTGGTAGTTTATTGTGCACCCCATACTCATCCTGTGAGTGGTAGTTTATTGTGCACCCCATACTCATCCTGTGAGAGGTAGTTTATTGTGCACCCCATACTCATCCTGTGAGAGGTAGTTTATTGTGCACCCCATACTCATCCTGTGAGAGGTAGTTTATTGTGCACCCTATACTCATCTTATGAGCAATAGTTTATTGTGCACCCCATACTCATCTTATGAGCAATAGTGCACAAGGCTTACAGATGAAGCACAAATGTTTCCCACTGTGCTGTACAATAACAATACCCACAGCAAGGGCCCCACATGTGAATACCACACTAAGATACTAATATATCATTAGGAAATGTATATGTTTATCTCTCAGAATGTTTGGTAATATGTTTATTGTTTGTGATGTGTGTCTATGTATGTATTAACACGATGTACTGAACGGGGTGAGAATAGCTTGAGCTACCTCATCCCTTTGTGTGTATTTTACCTCAATAAACTTATTTCAATTTCAACATATTCGCTATCCCCTGCAGAGCCTGGCCTGTCCTCTGAGGGCGTGTTGCTCATGCCAATACTACAAGAGAGAGCTCAGGCGACTCTTCACACCCACACAGCTACCACTTGTCCCGGCGATCCACTAAGACCTTCCAATCTACTCCTGCTGGTAGCCTCCCTACACCGCCTTCCACCTCATGTAGTGATCCAAGCTCTTATACCAAGTCTTGCTGGCCCGCAAGCTGCTTCGTTTATCATAGCCACGTTCCTCACCTCAACTTAA